AAGAAAGCTATGAAACAGCAGGGAACGTGGCTGGTTTATTGTTTATCTTTTGTTTATGAGGCAGTATTCAAGTTTAATTACTACTCTAAATTAAACTCTAACTGGCATCAGGAGACATCCCTTTACATGACTAAGTTAAAAAAAAAATCTGGAAATCCCAACTCTGGATTTTTCAAGTAAGTTGATATATATAGGAATGAAATTACTCAAAATTAACAGCAACTATAGCAAGCTTTTAAGCATTTATTGGCAACTGTTACATGATCCTAGGGCAAGTATTTATTAGAAGACTTTAATTTTATTTCTCATGGCGACTATCTAAAACATCCTAAGAACTTCTGCAGAACATACCTAAATGTTTGCTGATGACTGAAGGATGGCTTTCATTTTTATTTAATTTTTTTTGAGGGGGGAGAAAGGAAATGCCACATGAATATTTTATATAGAACAGCTTCTTCTCTGGCCATGTCCAACTGTCAATTATAGTTGGAGTGAAAAAAAATGATGGTAACAATCAGGAGGAAAGAGATGCTATTGTATTTATCATAACTTAGTGACCAGTTTGGGGTGAACTTAACTCTAGGAAAAATAAAAGTTAAAAGCAACTAGCAAAAGATGATGGCAGATGGCGTCTGTCATATTGTATTTAGGGTTATTTTAAAGAGATTGCCGCCACTAGGAAAACATTCCATTGACAGAGTTTTCCTAGACTGAATGAGAAATCCCAGCAGAGAATATTCAGGACCCTCAGTAAGTGGGTTTCCCCCTTCCTCCTTTAAACATATAACTGGACTATTTAAATGTTATTTCCTAACTGCAACACAGTGTAAACTCAAAAGTATCATGATATCTTACACATGCTTGACTGTAAGGGCTTCCATTCATTTCTAAGGGGACTTTTGTAGATTTCAACACTACGGTTGCTAAATAACTGTATAATAACTAAATAAATATCTAGCTGTGGGATTCTAGCCTCATTGCCTGGATGATAGATGGTGACATCAATGGATGGGTCTGGTGGCAGAGTCAAGGGGAACCCTGCTGGCTTGTACAGCCCAGGGTCTTGAACGATTACAGATATAGATGCTAGCATGTTCATGTATTTAGGTTAATCTGGGTCTGGCAACAGTATGGTTAACGTGTGTGTGGTGTGCACTGTGAGCTCAGCAGTTACTGGGCCAACTGTCTCGGTATTTCTGGGAATCCTGCCTATTCACAGTGCAGGGATTGTTCAATTGCTGCAAAATGTACAAAATGAATTTTACAAAAATGAATTGTAAGGAAGGCCCCATTACAACGATTTTACAGCAAAGATGTCAACATCAATTTTTCTTTCATGCATAGCTAATGATTAAAACAGCATATTCCATTTGCCTAAGACAATTTATTTCATATTGGCACATCAAAATATTGAAATACAAAGTTATCTTTACTCTACCCTTTTTATTCACTGCTGCTGAACCCATACCATTGTTCAAACCAGGAAAAATAAAACAAACTTGGCACGAAATACTTAAAACAAAGGCTCATCAATATTCTCCAATTTGTCAACATCTCAATTACAGCACTGGAAAAAATGTAAATTTCATGTGCTCTAAACACTGAGGGGTCTATTCTCCTGCCAATTCACATGTGTAACTCCCATCAGCGTTAATGGGAGTTACACAAACCCATCAATAATAATAATACTTTGTATATATACTGTGCCTTTTATCTAAGGCTCTCAGAGAGCTCTAGGAACAAGGAGGTTGCCGCGTAGGCTTCACTCTGGCAAGGCACACGTGGAACACAAAGCATCTTCAGAATCAGTAGGTACAGAACCAGGGACCCCAAGCCGTATTATCAAACCCCATTTTAGTGACGGGAAGTCAGTCACAAAGGCGGGCAGTTACTGCCCCGAGCTCTGGAGTCTGCACCCTAATTCTACCCTTGAAAAACCAGATTTCCTTCCTCATTGGAATGCGACTAACAAGACAAACGCACTCCCTTTGGCTGCTTTTTGAAAACAGAGAACCCGGTGAATGAAATGCCGGCTTCATAGTTACCCAATTGACTAGTGTGTGGTTGGAAAGACAGTCAGACTTCAAATCTCCCAAGTTCACTTCTTATGGTATTAAAAATCTCATTTTTTTCCTCCTTTCAGTTTATGATGCAAACACCTATGTGAAAAGATAACCTTTCATCTGTGTTACGATAGCTCTTTTCAGTAACAGGTCACAAACGAGGTGTTTTTAGGTTCCATAGTAAAGATCTGTAAGAACCATTATTGTAAAAATATTCACAAAAAAATTACAAAGCAACATAAATGCATGTATTGTTTTATAGCATATGGCTATTAAAGTTTAATTTAAAATGTGTATGAAAACATTGTATTTAGTACAATTCATCCCTATTTCTTCTGTTTATCATAATTTGTTTTGAAATTGAATCGTTTTACAGTTTTCCATATGCCTGTTGTGCTAATAAATTCTGAAGAAGTAAGGAAGTCTCTTGTGAACTGCAAACTTAGATTCCAATGAAACATTATGATATATTTAATATGAAGAACATAAATTTCCCTCCTAGGTTTTCCATTCTACATCAACCCTAAGATCTAACCTATGATAAGCATATGTGATTTCAGTCAATACCTCTGCTGACTTTGCCCTGAAGCAGATAATTAATCTTTCCCACTGAAAGCTACTCTGAGCATTTCGGTGGAACAAAGTATCAAAATATCTTGAAAACATGTTTAAAAGATTATGGGAGCAAAACATACTTAAGTCTGGCCTTCAAAATTTAGGGTCTGCTGTCAGAAACAAACAAAACAAAACACCCAGAACACCTTAATGTATGCATTTTAACCACAGACACAGTGAGCTAGGTAGAAAAATTCTCTTCGCACGAACAGTCTCCATTTTACAGAAACAATAACTTTTCCCCACTTTCTCTCCAACTTTACCACAGTTGAGGGGGACGTGGGGGAGACAGCCTTCCTAGTGCTCACATACATAAGCCCCCGTGTCCATTCTTTAATCCCACAGAGATATGATTAAAGGAACAAAATGCTTGGGGGATCAAATCCTTCAGCAAGGGATAAGTGGGTGCGGCTACCACAGCAAGGGGGGCTCAGTGTTTTGTTTCTCCCCAGAGGATGCCTTACATGTCTTCTCTTTCTTGACCAAAAACCCTTAATAAAACAAAACTGACTGACTAAAGTGATAAAACTTGCTGCTTTGTCCGCTGTGGTAGCTAGTCCCCGCTCCAAAGCCTGCATCTTTTCCTCACCTACCTCCTCTCTCTCCTCTCTCTTTCTCTCTCTGACCCTTCTTGTTATCCCTCTCGCCATAACTCAACTAACCCAACAGAACCAGTCAGTTTTAAATTTCAGTTGGGACCTTGGTGACCTGTTAATGAATCTACAGAGAAGAGAAAAACTCACAGTGTTGAGTTATGCCTGGTGTCGCTAGCTGACATGGAGGCAGAAATGCTTGAAGCGTTAACGTAATTGCAAGAATGTGAAAAATGAAGCGCTGGGCTCCTGAGCCAAGTGAAAGGTCAGAGGGAGCCTCACACAGGAGAAGTTTCTGGAAGATAGCCTCATTAGGCCATTAAGTCTGCTTCTCCCCACCCCCACCCCTCATCCCTGCAATGTTGAGGGTGTTTTGTTTTTATTAATAGCTATTTCACCCTTTGTGTTGCCCTAACTTGGGGCAGTGGGGAGGACTGAAGGATTGAAAGCTTTCTGCATTTGACCCAGGGTCACTTGGAACCACAGCTCAACCTCTGTTGATCCACTATTGAATCTACATACATGATACCTTCAAAATATCTTATAATGAAGTTTATTTTACAAACAGTTCAACTGATGCCCTCAAACCAATATACATATAGCTCACAAATTCTTCTATAGCTTGCCATTTGATAGTGCATCATCTGTGAATCACAACATGTTTAAAAAGACAGATTCCAAACAGGATTCCCTTACAAGTAAAAGACATCCTACAAAGGCCAGTTTTCTAGACTCACTTGGAAATTCAGGAGTCCAAAATCCCTGGCCAGAAACATGGAGGAGGGTAGATACTCACAGGACACCAATGACTCCCTTTGAAATGGCCTGTATAATTACAGCTCAAGCTGTAAAACAGTATTTGACTTGGAAGCCTGTCTAATGCTTAAATATTGTGGCCATAAACAGAATCATAATAGAGATAAAATAGACCTAAGAGATCAGACACCATCTAATGTAAAATATTAAAAAGTAAAATCTATATACATTCCTGGACCACATTCAATAATGCATCTTCCTTTAAATGATCATTTTATCCACAGAAGCGTCATCCCTACCAATATATGACTGCTCTCTGTTGTAAACAGTAAAGTTCATTCCAAAGTGCAGAAGGCTTCCTTGACATCTGAACTTCTCCTCCTCACCTTCTGAACTTCTATCTTTTTTCAAATTGGGACAAAAGTCACTATGTCAGCTGCATAGAAGCAGGGACAAGCAATATTTGAAGAATTTCCAAATCCATCTTCCCCAAACAAGAGTCTGTATAAATCTCTCCACCCCACCCCCACCTTGACTGGTATTTCTGGAGTTAATAAGAACAAATTTTTGCATCTTACATGCTTTAGAGGCATGGCTGCCTTAATTATAAAGAACTTCTATAGTATATATTACAGGCAAATATCCTGTTGGTAGTATAATTCCCACTACTGGATTATAGCAGTTAGGTAGGTCTGTCTTTCTGATATACACCAAAGTAGTGTAGATAACCACATTTGTAAGAGAATTGGCAGAACCAATCAATTATTATTGTAATGTGGACTTAAAGATTAGATAGCTCATTCTGAGTCTTTAAATAAAGTAACAAGAGGAACCCCATCTTCCTACCAAGCAGTTGGTAAATTCCCTACATCCTTACCTGCCCCTCTCCTGTTTACATGGACTGATATTGTGAAATGTGGAAGTTATTTTGGTCATGCCTACTTTTGCACAAGGAAAATTCTTAACTTTTTACCTTGCTCACTGCTGTTGTCTCCACTCTGGGAAGCATGGCCCCCACTGGAGGGTCCCGGGGTGCCTGCTGAGTGAGTTGAGGTTGCATCATCATGGTCTCGCCAGGATGAAGGGTTCTGATGTCAGGATGCCAAGGAATTTTCCCACAGTTACCATTTGAGCCATAAATGAGGAACCATGAAGACAGACAGGCACAGAGGGAGAGAAAAAATGTGTACATATTAGTATTTTCAGAAGTGACCACAGGCATGCTATTCTATGCCATCTTTTCCTGTTACATCAGTATATACATTTGTTAAAACTGACATAGCTCTTCTAAGTGTGCACATCCTATTATATGCAGATTTATGCCACAGCAAAGTTAACTTCAGAAGTAAGGGAAAACTGCCTTAAAATGTCTTTCTTGGTGGGTTTTTTTTAAAATTATTATTATAACCAGGACACATTCTCCTGGTGTTCTCAGACACAAAATCCACAGAACATGAGCCTCTACAAAATCCAATACTCTCTTCTGAAGAGCACAGGACCAACAATGTGTGGTGGGACATCCTCTTACACCTTTTAAATGCATTGCCCTAAAATGGTCTGTCTGAGCTCTCTGAACGTTATCAACAGGTAGATTGTGTAAACAACAGAAGCAATAGTTATCGTGGCATCACCATCTCATAAACCACCAAACCCTGTTCTAATTTGCACAAACGATAGTTTTTAAAATGAAACCAACGTGGGCTGCTTGCCACTTTGCAAGCAAGTTGCGACTTTTGCTTTAAGCTACTGAACAGGGGATTCTGGAAGAATCCAAAGGATTGCAAGGCAAACCAGGAGGCACCAGATTCAGCTGCTTTGCTAATATATTCGTCTCCTGTTTCCCCTCCTCTTTCCTGATCATTCCCAATACCACCTCTGTAGCTTAAAGGGAAACAGGAATTCTAATGTACAGGAAGGACTTTATCAGCACCACATGAAGGCAGCCAAGAGATGGAATTTCCTCTGGCAGACAGGGAGAGCAGGAACCACACATGAAACACAGCGGCCTTGGGGCCAAAGCTGTACACTTGTCACCTATGTGCTATGACTTTGACTAAACCTGCAGACCGACAGGCAAGTGTATTCTTTAGGGGTTGGAGTAGACTGTGCAGGACAAAATTTTAAAGATACAGCAACCCCTCAGAGTGCAGCAGCACTTTTTACTGGAATTGGTAAACAATAATTCAGAACAAGCTTAGGCCACCTACAAACCACTTGGCTATGTGAAAGGAATATTGCTGTGATACCAGGACACAGAGTTTATTAGGAAAAAAAGTCGGTCTGTCATTTTCCTCAAGACTAAGTCTGAAATTTACCTACAGTAGATAATGCTACTAAAATAAAACCAGAAACCAAAATAAGATAAATGAAGGAAATACTCTTCCTTGGAACAACAGCAATGGACATTCCCCCACCCATAGATCTTCTATAAGCAGATTGTAAATTAATATTTTGAATTTTGGCAGATGATAACATGATCCAGATCTCTGAGATCAAGAGTGTCAGTGTCAAATAGTGCTGCTGGCGATATCACCAGGCAAGCCATTGACCCAAAGTCAAGACCTTGAGTAGAAATCACGACTGTAAATATAGTTCAGGTTCAAATCTCTACAATAAAGATGTGATGGAAAAAGAGGATTAAGGAATTAGCTGGGCATGGTAGTACATGCCTATAATCCCAACACTCGGGGGGCTCAGGCAGGAGGATGAAGAGTTCCAAACCAGCCCGGCGGTGGTGGCGTACGCCTATAATCCCAACACTCGGGGGGCTCAGGCAGGAGGATTGCCATGAGTTTGAGTCCAATCTCTACTACACAGTGAGCTCCTGTATCAAAAAAGAGAGAAGGAAAGAAAGGGAGGGAAGACGTTAGGGAGGGAGGGAGGGAGGGAGGGAGGGAGGGAGGAAGGAAGGAAGGAAGGAAGGAAGGAAGGAAGGAAGGAAAGATTGATTAGGAAGTGAAAGTAAATAGACTATATTAGACCAAGTTGTCTGTTGCTTTGCAGTCTCTTCATGTCAGATATTTACTGGCTGGTGATCAAATAAAAAGCTAGAAGGATTACAGAAGTGGGTGGAAGAGAGAGAAGTGTGGCGTGTGCTTATTCTGCAACAGCGTGGTCCGCAGGACACTTTCCCCTAACTAAACTTTCCAGTGTACACAGCCGGTGATGTTAATTTTATGCACTGCAGGCTTTTTATTAAGCTGGCTGCTATAAAAGCTCCTTACCCCTCATGAAAATTACAATAATTAACCACTAACACCTCAACGATGTTTGAAGGCAAATGTCATCCAACACTATTATATAATCGTTCGGATGGAGCTGGGACAGGTCTTTCTGTTTAAGCACTGGCATGGGGGCGGGGGGGTTCTTGTACAAGCAATTCCTGGAGCTGAAAAGCACTATGACCGTGTTCTTCTCAGCCAGGCCTGGGCTGGACTTTAAAGTCAAGCCTCATTAATTCACAATTTAGTATCTTTTTTTTTCAGTGGCTTTCTGGAGAAGGTGTCTTCTAAAGACACATTTTGTCAATGTTACTAGGACAATAGGTTCCCCCAACCAAGGTAGGTCATTGACTTTCAATGTGGTCACCAAATTTTCTCTAGTTCTCTTATCTACCATTCCGCTATCTCTTCCCTCTTCTCCTCCTCACCTCTCAAAAGCATACTCTCTTGAGAAAGTGTCACATTTCCTTGGTGTCTCTTGTGCTATGTTCAGTGGAGGGACTGAAGCATGCTAGCCATCTAATCTGATGGACAAACAGGTCCCTCTGGGCATTCTGGGGTAGAGACTCACCCTAAGATGTCTATATAAAGCTACACATAGTGATGTGATAATACATAAAGACAAACATGGGCAATATGAGCAATATAAACAAAAACTTCTCTGTGGTCATAAAAAATTTTTTTAAAAAAAAATTTTTTTAAAAAAACACACAACTTACAAAGACAACATAAAGCATTACCCATAATACCGGGTTTTTCTTAGGTTGAAATATTTGTACATATCAGTTTCCTCCTCCCCCGCCCTACCCCCCTCCGATAGTTTCCAAGTTTGCATCCTTCAAGAATAACCACCTGGCCCTCTGCCAAATTATAAGCAGAAGCTGAGTGAGTCCTGAACCAGCGTGATATACAAAAGCATGTAAAAACACATGACGTATATACAAAAATAAGAGAGAATTGATTTCTGCATGCATCAGTGTAGATGAGAACTCGAGTATACACATTCCATAATACGTGTCCTGTTCTCCAGCCAAAAGTACCATGAAGACACCCCAGGGCAAGGAGGGAACATGTTTCTATTCCCAACGGCTTTAATAATTGGGAGTCAAAGATGGTCCTCCCCTTGTTCTCTATATAATTGCGTTAAAGAGCAGTGTTACCAGGAGAAAAGCAGTGAATACCGAGTAGTGCACAATAGGAGATTGGAAATAGATACAAGAAGCTCCGTCTCCAGGGGCAGTTTTTTCTATTTGCTGGGCTACAGACTCGCAGCTGATAATGCAAGTTGTAATTAATATAAAAGCAAGAGACAATATGGGCAGAGCTTGTAGTCTCAGGGCCACAGGAGAGCGCTCGGCTGCTCTCCTTGGCTTCTCATTTGCACAGGGCTTCCCCTAGAAAACACAATTCTGCCAGTGTTTTCTCCCTTGAAAGTTAAAAAAAAAATTGATTTAGCACCATCATTGAATTTTGCTAAATCTAGAAAAGAGAACAGAGAGGACAGGAGTCTCTGGGCACAAGAAGCAAATCCTCTACGCACTGCTTTTGTTGAGGCTGAGGATAGGCTGCAATTACCCTTCAAACCAGAACGGCACTTCCGTGAGGGTCCTGCCTATAGGATAATGCTTAATAAGTCCTGGCCAATTGGTAGTGTTTCTCATATCCAAGTATTCCCCATAGTGCATAGTTCATTCCTCGGATCACTGGGGTAAAATGTGCATGAGTTTCTAAATAAAACCGTAAAAGCAAAATGTCTTAGGCTTGAAGGAGGAAACAGGAGCCATTTATTGTATTTAAGATTTGACAAAAATAATCTGAGCTCACTTTTTTTTAGACTCCATATGAAAAATTATTCCCTGCAAGTGAGACAGAGGAGAAGACAGAAGGAGAGAATCAACTCTTGGGGCCACCTCTAACAGGTGATGGGACTGGGAATGAAGGCTTCCCTCTTCCCTGACTGTTCTTTTGGACTGATGTCCTTTATCTCTTTAAAATTCTGAAGTCATACAAGATAATTCCCAAGGTCATGTCTACTTACGTCTATCTTGAAAAGTACTTTAAAAATAACCAACAGGTTTTTTTTTTCTAGAACCAGTATAACTAAATAACATAGAGCCAAGAAGTCCATAGGTAGCTTGAAAGCACAGTCAAGTAACTTAAGATATACATTCATAGCTACACAGTAACAGAAAACACATTCAAAGACATATTCATTAGCTGAGGAGGCACACAGACTTATCTGACTTGACACATTTAAACAACAAAAGGTAGAAATATATTTGTGTCAATACTTCCAGTTAATATGAACTTACTTATATCCTGTGGCTTTAAGGCCTTTTCAGTTCTAGTTAGCAGTGTAGACAGAATTGTTTTTTAAAAAGATGTGAGCACTCTTATCCCAGGGCATTCAAGTCCACAAGTTAAAAATGTTCACGGTATGGCTGGGATAAATGTTGGAATTTCAACTTTTTGATTATGACGTTGACCAAGAACTCAGGATAACAGTGTGTGCTTTTAGAAGCCTTTTTTGTTTGTTTGTTTGTTTGTTTGTTTGTTTTTGTTTTTTCGAGACAGGGTTTCTCTGTGTAGCTTTGGAGCCTATCCTGGAACTTGCTCTGTAGACGAGGCTGGCCTCGAACTCACAGAGATCCGCCTGCCTCTGCGACCCGAGTGCTGGGATTAAAGGTGTGCAGCATCATGGCCCGGCTAGAAGCCAGAGTCTTTAAAAATGTAAAGAAAGCTGGAGATTTTGCCTCAACATTTGCACCACTACATCAGTCTTTGGGAATGAGCACAGAGGCACATCTTATGCAAGGATTACATCCTGTGCAAATGATTGCTCCATTGAGTGGTGGACTCTCGAAGAAGACGGAAACACATTTGTTACTGCAAGGAGTGTTATAAAATGCTTTCTATAATTTTGAAATGTGCTGGGATATCCCATAGACTATTCCATATGTAAACAGCCAAGACAACGATGTCAAATAACACCAAGTTTTCTTGTAGCATTGAGTGTCTATATGATTGCCGAGTGCACTTCACTTCCACAGTGATACTGAAGACATACACCAACACCATAACCTAAATAACTCAAATGATGTAGAAATTCTTGATGAGAAATAAACAGGAACACTTCCAACAAGCAGAAACTTCAGCAGCAACAAATAACAGAAAGCCATGTCCTCCATTAGGGTCTTTAAGAAGGGACACTGAGTTCCAAAGTAAAACTTTCCAACATTGGGTCCCAGAGACTTTGAGTAAAGCATAGCTAACACCTGATATTACACTTCAGTGTGAGAAACTAACAGACAAAAGAAATCACCCGTTATTAATGCTAATATCAAAGCTCATCATCCTTCCTTCATCTTCCATAGGCCAAGAACTCAAACCCAAACCTCTCCTCACTCTGTCCTCACTTCTAATTTTTTAAGTAATAATGGAATTTATCTACATTTTCTGTCAAGAGCAAGATCCTGGTGATTCTCTCCTCTGACCTAACCATTAAAACAATAACAACAACAACAACAACAAATGTATCGACATAAATATACTTGACATATTCAGAAATGCAAAAACAATAGCAGCATATGTTCATTTAAACTTCAGCCCAGAAATGAAAATAAAATGTCATTTACTTATGATGTTATCAGAGCCAGCCAACTTTAAGGTACCTGCCAATTCATATTAATTCACATAACTATATTTTCTTTACTTAATTCTTTCAAAGAAAATAAAATAGAGCTGTTTGGCATTGTAAACAGGAGTGGTATAACTATATACCCATATGCACTACAAACAAGTGTAACCAGGAGAATACATTTCAAACAAGTATGTTTTGGTCATGCAAACCTGATACAAAGATATATGATATCTTTATACATAAATATTATGATGATACATACTTGTCTGTACTATATCTAAAAAGCTGATCTCACATTATATAAAATAGAAAATTTGGATATTAACAATTTTTTAGTACTTTAACAGTCTAGGAAAAACATAATTATTTTACAACAGTTTCCAAGTTGAAACTTAAAATAAATGCTTTCTTGACATGTTTGTTTTAAACATGATAAATTTGAATGTCTGGGAAGCTTAGCATGAGCTGCAGCTGGAAAACACAGTGGAGTTGCCTTTGATTATCATCTATTTTTCCCTCAACAGTATTCTGAAGAATACTATCATAGCCATTTGCTACCTACAACAATTATCCTTATGCTATAGTAAGTGTAGGAGATAAAAACACATCCTAATATTAAAAAATTAGCATCCCTCACGAATTGACTTAACACAGTACAACAACCAAAGTTGCACATTTTATTTTCTCTTTGGTTCCAAACTTGCCCTTATCATCATGCACATAGTGTTTGTTAATAATAAATAAACAAATCCAGTATCCTCACTGGATGTAAAGAATGGAACGCAAGACCACTACGGGTCTCCTTGTAATGCATCTATGTCGTATCAGAATACTTATGTGACATTATAGAATACAAAATTAGCACAATACCCGGTAATAGTACATAAAAGTCATTCCTAAACGTCTGCTGAGAATATTAGCTTTGAAGATATTTATTCAGTCAACAACCTTCATTCATTTATGTTTTCAAGGATGTTAATAAAATGAAAAACTATATTGGCGCTTAATATTCTGCCCTTGATAGTTCTTTCATTCTTTTCAGTGCACAGAACTACAAAGTTAGTCTTTCTTTTTTTCTTTCATTCTTTCTCCTTGCCTGCTCCCTCTTCACTCACACACACACACACACACACACACACACACGCACACACGCACACACGTGTGCGCGCACACACATACACACACGCATGCACGCACAGTGTAGCTTGATACCACTTAATAAGGATAGAGGTGTATGTGTTTTTGGGGTGTCAAACAGCTGTCACAAACTGTCACCTCCACAAGAGAAACCTTGGCACACAATAAATGAAACTACACTTCTTTTTTAGCTGTCATTATTCATAGCCAATAAGTTGAACTGCTCACGGCATTTCATGTGCAAATAAAACCTCGAAGTAGCTCAGTAGATCAGAATAGTGGGCCAACAGAGAAAACAGAGAAAACACCACGCTGTCTGGGTCCTTCTGAAGTGGCTGATCATCACCCTGCACCAGCGTGCAGCAAATGAGATCCAGCCTGGGGCAAGGCATTAAATATGCATATCAAAGCAAATGAAAAAAAATAAACCTGATGACTCAAATTGGACACATTTATATGCTGAAAATGTCCCCCTTACATCACTTTCAGGTAGGGATTCTGTGGTCTTTTCCCTCTCTTGTGACTGAGGGGTTGAGGGATGACAAGTTTGTAGGACCGGGTGAGAAACCTTTAGAAGGAGGCCCTTTGTCGGGAAGGAGGGGGTGGCCTAGGCACAAATGCAGTGGATATGCCTCTGGTACCTAAAATGCTGCAGAGCCTTCAAGGATTTCTCTCTCGTCCCGCATGGAGCACAAGCATGGGGCAGACCTCTCCATTCCCCACTCAGTATGCTGGTGGAACAAATTATGGCTTCATTTCAAAACAAATAGCAGGGGGCTAAAGAAAAAAATGCTGTAGTTCAGATCTCTAGGAAATAAAAGGCTTTAAATTATGACGCCCAATGAGGTGGCAAGCCCTCACGGATTCAAAATAAATCAGTTGTCATATTTACTTGATTGGGGGCTTGAAAGGGTAGCAACAAATGCTACAGTTGACTCTTTTATCCGAAGATGATGATTGTTAAATTATTCAAGCACTATTCTCTTAGGCACCACCTCCTTCTTGAGTCTGTATTTAAATATTACGCTAGCTTCACAAATTGGCCTTATAGATCAGCCAATACTCTATCTACAACGCCTAGTTTCTCTTATTGCTTCTACGTAAACATCAGCACCCCCTAACTCCATACATCCACCAGAAAAACCATTGTCAAGAAACTGTTGTAGAAAACCAACTAGTTACAATTCCACAAAATAACATGAGAAAAAAAGCTTTTGGCGCAGAAGGAACTAGGGACCTCTCATGCTCCAAGCCGCGTGGATACATACCCCTCTGTTCCCACCCCCATAATACAAATGCATATGAACTCAGAAACAGAAAGTGATGAAAATAAGTAAAGAACAAAAATAAATAAATATTTAGGAAGCAAGCACTCCTCTTGGACCACAAGAACACACACTGTAGATACAGAGAAGCAAAGGAACTTCTAACAGCTGCTACACCTTTTTGATTTCACCTAATGCATGCAAGGTACAAACCCCAGACCACTTTCCCCATCACCTTGAAACAGATAAAGACAAGTGCAGGAGCTTTTTAGCAGCACAGTATTTATTCTCTATCCGAACTGGACATCCTATGCTATGGTTTCCTTTCATTATCTTCAACTTTTAGGCTGCTGTTTCACGTAGTGCAAAGGTTAATCTTTAAAATCAATGGCTGCTTCTTTTCAAAACTTTTGATAGAGGGAGACGAGAACTCACAGAAAAGCTATTATTCCTCAGGTAGCTCAATTCACTCCTCTTCCTACTCAGGAATTTGGGGGTGGGGAGTGCAAACTACCTTCAAATGTCAATGCCTGTTTAGCTCCTATGGAGTATTAAATTAATATTTCACCCATGAAGTTATCCAGACTATGGCCTGTATCATCTAGGTTGTGAGTTCAAATGAATGTATAGACACTCTGTTCCCCACCTCCTGGCTTGAGTCCCCCCAAATACACTGCTATTCACACCTACTCTTTAACCCCACCGCTCTTGCCTCCCCTACCAACCCTGCCAGCTGCAATCCCTCTCCTGCTTCTTCTTCAGATTTTGAGTATCACTACATATGCTTTTTCTTCCCCCATCACAATCCCTCCATCAGTTCCAAAATAGGATTAAAAACAGAGAGAATAGAAATCTCCTTTCCTGGTTTGACATCCCCGGGCATCTTCTACACTCTTCATCCTCAGTCACCAGCTGTTAGAGTGTTGAAGGGAACCACTAACCTATGGTTACTCAGTCTTAATTCCCTTCAGCTTTCTGTAATACAGTGTTAAAAATTGGTTCATCAAGGTTGCTGTCTTTTATTATAGAGATGCTTCAGGCACTTGGCAATAAGTCCATATTCTGACAATAAGTTTCTATGAGAAAAAAAGTCCTGAGAATTGTAATGTGTTCATTCACTCCTTTTATTGTTAATGTGGTGCAAAATGGCCAGGAATTCTCAGGATTGTCTTCTCTGGGAGAGCAATAGGCCCCCATTTCCCAGTTCTCTTCTGGCTCCCACTTCCCCCTCCCCTGGCCAGGCACGCACAGCTTTCCTTCCAGCTAACTGTCTTGTCTCTTGCTATCTCTGATCCCTTGATTACACACAGAAAGAAAACAGAGAAGACAGAGACCATCATATCAAAAAGAGATTTTTGCTAACACCCAAGTCACCAGGTCCAGGAAACTTCACACACTAAGAGCACAAATCATTCTATCCACTCCTTAGTTCTTTGACTCTCAACATAACTGAGGACAGGGTTCAAGAAAGAGGAAATGAAAATAAAGGCCATGACACTGGTCGGGAGACAGGGAGAACAAACTCCAAACGCGACCAAACCATTAAAAAACAGAACAAGTGAGCCCAATCCCACAAGGTTTTAGAAACATGCTTTGCCCAGTGGCCTTCAGGGAACTCCACTGGCTCTGCACACTTACGTGGTCGGCGAGATTTGTGGAGGAGCCTGAAAGCTCTTCATGATCTGACTTGGAGCTTCCATCTCGCTCGTCAATCACGAGGTCAATGGGCATCTTCCCCTTCAAACAGCTAATGTACCGGTGGCAGAAGTTATCACACAGTTCGTGCACCTAGGAGGAGGGTCATGGGGGAGGCTCAACTCATGTTGTCTTTATAGGTTTCATTTTTAAAGGGGGAAGAATACCAGGTTGCAGGGTTACATTTGTAAAGAGCAACAAATGTAATGTCTTCCAAACTCACTCTAATTAAGGGGTGCAAGAGCTGAAGGCAAGGAAACAATAGAGCAATTGTGGCAATCGATATTATTCTTCAGAGACTCCCCTCCCTGAGCAACAAGTTACAATAAAGACCGAAACTGGACTGGAAGCAACTGGGTTCAGATTGGGAGAGCATAGAAGAAAATATGATTTGATAATATCTCAGAAACATTTAAACACTAGAACTGGGGATGTGTGTGATTTTTGTAAGCAAGGTGCTGTGTATGTTTCCTAGGGAAATGGTTGACCTATGTATCAATGCAAAGACACCCCAAAAAGGACTGTTCCCTCTGATTGCACCCAGTGGGAACTCTGGGCCTAGGGTAAGCCGAGCTAATAGAGACACAAGTAGACATTGTGTGCAGCAATACAAACGGCTCTGCTGTACTTCAAATAATCCTGAATGCCTGGGGGTGGGGGGCTTTAAAAGGCAGGGCTGCCCTGATTCCCATATCCTCTGAGCCCCTGGGCTGAGAAGTCTATAAAGGAGGGAAATAGGGCCGTGATCAAGATCTCCAGATGAGTAATCCTTCATCCCCGAGGTGTGTAACATCCCCAGTCATCTGGTTGAGAGGATGTGGGGGTCATCAACATGGGGACTGTTGCCTCCGGCTTACCTTCTCTAACTCCAGAAGATGAAACCTTAGTACTTGTATTGCTTGGATCATCTGAAAGGGAAATTTAAGAGGATGGAGTTAGGGTTCTGGGACTTGTAAATCTGTGGTGTGTGTGTGTGTGTGTGTGAAGAGGGGTGTGCTGAGGGAATTGGACAGAGGAAGAAGAAACCAGCAGGTGGCCGGGCAAAACCCACACATCAAGAAATAGGAAAACCAAATGATTACTGATCATCTCTGCCTCATTGGCCACAGGGGTGGGAGCCAGTATAAGGGGTGGCCTTAGTAGTTATTTCTTTCCCCTGGCTCTCACAGTGTGCTGTTGGTAAGGGCTGGTTTTCTCCCACTAGGTCTTCTTAATCTACCCGTCTGTCTTCTTTTTACTGCTCCTCCTATCCTCCACCTCAGGTCAAATTGGAGGAGGGGGGGGAGGGGAAGAGATAATAGAATAAAACAAGAAAATAAGAGAGAAGAAAGGAGAAGAGGAGAAGAGAAGAGAAGAGAAGAGAAGAGAAGAGAAGAGAAGAGAAGAGAAGAGAAGAGAAGAGAAGAGAAGAGAAGAGAAGAGAAGAAGAGGGGGAACCATTTCTTTGGATAGAAAGGCTTTTTAAAACAGCAAACCCGGAGCAAGCCTCCTCTCAGAAGAAGGAAATACTCTAGATGAATGGGGAGGCAGGGCCTTTGAAAGAGGATTTAAGTACTTTTAATATTGAAATCCTGCAAATTAGCAAAAGAATCGCACCTAAAAGTGGCCTGCGCGGGATAGCCCCTCACCCCCAACCCATTCTTAGCCCGCCCTCAGCCGCCTTGGGCAGTTACTTCCTTCGGGGCAGCAGCCTGGGGCTCGGCCGACTTCCCCGGCACACAGAGGAAATCGCTCCCCTCTCTCCGCTTACTCCCGAGGCCGAGACCTGGGAAGCATCCCCACTCGCCCGCTCGGCGCCGCGGCGCCCGCTGCTGCCTCGGTGGGCTTCTCATCCCCTGAGGTCCATACTGCCCCTGGCTCTCCCCTATTACCCCGCAGGAGCTCTAAATGGGTCCCTTCCCTTGTGCTTCGCTAAGAGGGCTCTACTGCAACTCCCTGGAGCTTCAGGGGCACATGAGTGCAACTCTGGGCTAGGGATGTGTCCGAGGCTGGGGACAAGCAAGAAACAAGAGTCTTACCAAATTATCCAGCTCTGGGTTTGAGGAAAAAAGAGGCTTTTCAGCGCGAACCTATAGGAAGCAGGGAAAGTCAGCATGAATCTTCAGCCCAATTAAAAAGAGAAAACCCTGTCGGGCGACTGATCTGAATGGAGGGAGCGGGTACTCTGGAAGAGCAGGGGCAGAGGAGAGGGCAGGGGCTTTGATAAAATCCAAGAAACAGATTGATGTCTTAAGTGAGTGGGGTCGGTGGAGTAACATCAGGGCCTTGAGTCGGTGGGGAGAGTCGTGCCCCGCTCCAGTTGTAACCGGGAAGGCAAGGCGGCTCGCGGATTCTCAGAATCCGCTTCTGCAGCCAAACCTGGAGGTGGGTCTCCCCACCTCCCTAGCCTGAGTAGGCTTCTCTCCAGGCTCCTTGCTTCCTTTGCTCCGGGGCACTCCCAGGTCCCCCCCAGCCCCTCTCCCCAATTCTTGTTCAAGTAGCTGCAGGCGGGGAAAAGGCCAAGCCCCAGATTAGGAGCAGGTCAACTTTAATTCGAGGGTCGAGCCCCTGTATTCCTGGCTGGGGGGAAAAACAAACACCCATATTTATCTCCGTTTCCAATTCGCCTCCAGGCTAAGGGATGGGGAGGAGGCGCGGAGCGCCGACTGGGCCAGAGGAACAGATCGGGTGTCCTGCCTTTTCCTCCTCTTTCAAGTCAAGCTCGGAGGAAAGGGGAGGGAGGGTGAAGGGCTGCTGGGGGGTGGGGGGTGAGCGGGTCAAGAAGGTTGGACCTGCTTGGCGAAGACCGCGATGTCCTCGTTGAAGGAGTCGGAGGAACAGACGTCTCCGCCGGCCACTCCGGGTTCCCGGGGAGTGCAGGTCGCTAGCTCGCACTTCTCAAAGACCAGTGCTAACAGAGGAAACAACGGGTGCCTAACGGGCAGCGCCACGCAGAGACACACGCACGGAGACGGGGTGCAGAGGGGAAGGAGCAAGAACTGTAATCAACAAGTTTGGAGGATTTGCATTCTTTCTTTAATACAACAGGCACGCAACACACTACACCCTCAATCAGCCGAGCCTGGGCCACAAACAGAAAGGAAACAGCCTGGCCTTTTCCCTTGGTTCATGGGTCTTTTCAGATCAGCCCCGAGAAGCCCCCGGCCACTTTAGCCCACCAAGTAAACATAGACCCAGTTAGGGTATAATGAAATAACCAAAAGCCCGGCCAATTAGAGCTCGGAGTTGATCCAGATCCCACTACTCACTCCAGAGGTGCCTGCCACCCAACCCTGACCTCCAGGACAGGGAACACTATTTGAATTTTCCCCCCTACAATCTGAATTGATCTGACGGGCATTTCAGACAAGGCCGAGGGCTTCACCTACGTACACACCGGACTGACATTTCCCAATTTTAAGAAAAGTGTTCTAATCTCTCCATCCTTTGCTTTATAAACTTGTTCACTTTGCTTGCAGTAAAGCTCCGGTGGCAGGGCCACAATAATAAGAATGTTCAACTCGAAAGAGCTTCCTTCCAAAGACCACATTTCTCCCAGCGTTGCAGCGCACAAGGATAAATAAACCGCGTTTCAAAACTTGGAAGTGTGCATGCCGGGCGCGTACGCCCTTTGTGTTCCTTCGGGAGGCTTAGCTACACCTCGAGATGCTTGAGGCCTCAGGCTTTAGGCTCAGTTGCTGTTTACTCACTGTCCCCTCCCCTCGGCATCCCGCCGCCTTCCCCACCTACCCTCAGCCGGAAGAGCCCGAGTAGTACACGCTGGGACCCTGCTTGCCCACCCCTCTCCGAGATTTCCGAATATAAAATAATTTCCAGCCATTTCCCTGATTCCCCCTAAGAACGGCTGTATGCAAGCCGCAGTCTCTTCCACCCCGCTGCACTTCAAGGTCTGCCCCCTTTATTTACAGAGAATTAAGAAGTGGGTGATTAGGACTTCCTGGCCGACAGAAGCTGCCCTGATTCCAGCTCAAGCTGCGTTTAGTGACTCCCAGGCCCACAGTAGGAAGCAGAAAGGGGAGGGGAGTGGAGAAAAAGAAAAGAAAGAAAGAGAGCGAGAGAGAGAGAAAGGAGGAGAGAAAAAGGAAACTGGAAGTTTTTTCTCGGCTGCAGAAAACTTTCCTCTCAGTCAAGGCCTCTGTAAGGCAGCCTGAGACAACCAGCCGTGCGTCTTTTGGCCAGGAATCTTGTCCTTGGGGAGAAGGCCCGGCCAGCAAGATTTGAGGACTTAGTCCTCAACCGGGACTGTGGGGTCTGGAGAGGCCGAACCAAGGGAATAGAGAAGGGTCTATTTTTCTAGCCTGTGACTCAAGGGGCCGAAGAGCAGGCTCTCTCCTCTGTCTTTCTCTACTGCAAATGGTCCTCCCATGCAGAATTAAGTCCCCACTTAGCCGCCCTGTCCACCCCACCACCACCACCAGAGACAAGCACACGCACTCACACACACTCACACACAGTAAGCTGGGTCCGGGGGTCGGTTTACCCGTAGATCGCGTCCTTGTCTCTTTTCAAGGCGTCGTTGACAGCAGATCCCATGCTGGCTGGCATGACATTGGGGTGCGGGGCATGCGCGCCGTAGTGCTGCGTGGCGTGGAGAGGCGGCCCGTGGTTTAGGTGGTGAACCGGGGGGATCGGCCGCGGCGCGTGAGGGTCTCCGTACATGGAAGCGGGAACCCCTACTCCGTCCATCCCGCCGTAATGGGGCAGCTCATCGTACTGTCAGAGCCCGGCAAGGGGTGGGGATGGCAGAGGGGGTGAGAGAGAAGCCAGGAGGGCAGAGGCAGGAAAGCAAAGAAACCCGGAGCAGAGAAGAGAGAGAACAGAGGAGTGGGAATCGGATGGAGAGGAGAGGGGGAGAGGGAGTAGGACGGAGGGGAATGGGAGAGAGAGAGAGAGAGAGAGAGAGAGAGAGAGAGAGAGAGAGAGAGAGAGAGAGAGAAATAAAAACAAAGTCAGAAAGAAGAAAAGTACTGGACACAAGTTGAACACACTACAAACCAAACCAGCAGAAACAACAGAGTCGAAAGTTGGGAGAAGATATCTGTAAATTTTAAAATGTAAAAGTCTCAGCCGAGAGCAGCATTCAGAGAAGGGAGATCAGGCCGGGGACGCCGGGGGCGCAGGGAGGCCGCGCTCTCGCCGCCGGAGGCTGCAGAACCCCAGCGAGCCAACCAAGGGAGAAGTGGAGTTAGCTAGAGGAGGAAGCCCCGGATCCCACCCCTAACCCCCCTTCGCCTCCTCCAGGAGATCCAATAAATCAAAGGGCGAAATGAAACAAAATAAAGAGAAGAAAAACGCTAATAATCAGGCCGAGAACGCCAAGGACCAGGGAAGACTAGGGCCGGTGCCTCCCCGGGGGCTGGGGGCAGAGGGTGGGGAGGAATAACGTGAAAGTTACCAGAAACATTATTTAGCAGCGGCTTCCCTGCGTCCTTGTCAATTTCAGAGACAAAACAAGCAGCCCAGGCTAGTCTAGGCAGCGCGGCCCCAGCGGCGGCCCCGGCGGCGGCGGCGGCGGCTCCTATGCAGCCGGCGCCCGCCCGGAGCCGCGCGAGCAGCGGCGAAAGAGGCGCAGCAGCGGCGGCAGGAGAACCTGGGGAATCGCGCTGCCGGGGTAAAAGCTGGAGCGAGGCGAAAGCGTGTAACAATTGCACACACGTACACACACACACGCACACACACACACACACACATACACACACCACTCACACGCACTCGCCGCCCGCCCGCTCGCACAGCGCTGGGACACGCGCGCCCAGACACGCACACACGCACGCACACACACTCTCACACACGCAGAAGCACGGGGGGGAAAGAAGCCGATGAATAATTTTGCTACTATTTTTTAAAATACTGGCCGCCATCATCAAGCAAGAGCTGCAGCCAGCTTGAAGGGAGAGGAGGCATGGGGCAGGGCCCTGTAGGAGAGGATTTATATCTAGGTAAGTGTTGGAGATTTAAACCTACCCTTTGCGCCATCAGTCTGCGCTCCAATAAACTCCTGGATGTGTCGTATATTTAATATCCCAGTCCGGATAAGAAAGTGAGCTAGGCTGAAGAGTCTTTTTTTTTTCCAAACCAAGGAGACTTCTCCCAATTTTCCAATGTTATTTTAGGGGGGTGGGGGAAGCCCAGTCAAGAAAACGAAGATTTTTTTTTCAATATTTCTTCTTTTTCTCTTTTTTTTTTCTTCTTCCTCCTCCTCCTGATCTTCCTCCTCCTCCTCCACCTCCTCCTCCCCCTCCCCTCCTCCTCCTCTTCGGTCCTCCTTTATCCCTTTTTCTCTTCTCTTCCTCTCAGTTGGAAAAAAAAAGAAAGAAAAGAAAAAGAAAAAGAAGAAAAAAAAATTGTCAAACCCCCGAACTGAAGGTTACGAGCGGCCAGTCAGCAACCCACATGTAACCGAACTGTCGAGTTTCATGGCTTTTTGCCACTCCAGCTGTCAATCAAAGCCCGGAATGTCAAGGTAGTGAATGAATGATGGTTGATGATGATGAAGAGGAGCAATCTTTCAGACTCGTTTTTTTTTTCTTCCAGTAAAACTCCGCGAGGGGTTTCTTTTTCTTGAATTTTTTCCTCCCCCCTCCCCCCTCCTTTAGCTTTGCCCCCCAAATAGCTCTAATACGGTCCTCTCTCTTTAAAGTATTGTTCAAAGAAAGCAAGGAGAAAAATCAAGAAAAAATGAATAGTTTGCAAAAATTGGACTTCCTCCCCCCCCCCTTTTCTGGTAGGTATTTTGTCTCTCCCTCTCTCTCTTTCTCGCTCGCTCTCACTCGCGCTCGCTCTCTCGCTCGTTCTCTCGCGCTCTCTTTCTCTCTCTCTCTCTCACTCTCTGAGAGATGAGTGAGTGTCAGTAGGTGTTGGCAGGTTGGCTGCAGCCCGGCTTATAGTAGAGCCTCAGTTTGGCGGCGCGGGTCGGCGGCGGGAGAACGAAATGACGGAACCCGGAAGTCGTGGTGGCCATAGCCCGTCGTACGGCGGAGACACATCCCGGGAGTGGGGAGCTGGAGCGAGGAGGAGCGCGCAGCGCGGAGCCTCTGATATGCAGCGAGTGCGGTCGGACGGCCCGGGGGG